TCACCCCCAGAGGTCGCCATCTCCCTTCCTCCCGGACTCCAGTCCCCAGACTCCACTCACCTGTTCTCTCATTACCTGATCATTGAGTCATTTGCCCCAGCTGTTTACCTGATTGCTTTTTCCTTTTAAGCTCCCTGTGTTTTATGTTCTGGGCTCGTTTGTCTCACGTAGGTACCTGTTCATGCCAGTGATTTCTGTCTGCCCTGTGCCCAGTTTATGTCCCGTTTTCAGCATTTATGTTACTCTAGCTTTTCCCCCTTTGGGGTGGTTTCATTTGTGTTTTTATTTTGTGATTTATAAATAGAGACCCCATCTGCCTGCATTTGAGTCTTTGCCTCTTTCGAACCGTGACGGAGAGTATCACTGTATCGTTTATTTTATAAGAATAAAATTATGATGCTGTAGATAATTTCCGAGCTCCTTAAGACTGTATTAAATGTGATTTTTGGGTCTTTCTTTCCTACATTATTTTGTTTAATATATTTTGTAGCCTCATTCTTTTGCTATTTTAACTAAATTAAGTCCAGAGTTTCATATAAAATATGACACTGATACCAAAAACCTCAGACATGGTATGAGTGATTATTTATTCATTTTTCTTTGAATAAATAGGTCGAACATTTATTAAAATGTTTCAATAAGACTAGCCATCTATTTTACATTTTAACATACGTTTTTGATTCCCTGTCAGTCATACAACATATTAGATGGTTTAATATATCAGATTCAGTCAACATCATTTAATTACTGACACAAAGTGAACTTCAAAAAACAAGTAGCACTTAAAGTAAAATTATAATTCATAAGGTCTGAATGGCCAAAACAACAAATGCCCCATATCCATGTGAAACAATAACCAATTAAACATAAAATTACAAATAATACCAGAATAAATCAACAATCAAAACTTATATGTACATATTCAATAACTTGATCTGCATTAGAAAATCAACGCTGTCTGTAATATCACACTCTAAAAAAAATCACTTGAGCTGAGCACTTCACCACCATTAGTGAGCAAGAGACGCTATTCTGCTGATTATGAAACATGTACAGCCACTAATGCAAATACTCTGACAGAACTGACACTGCCATATCGACAAAGACGACGTGAGGATGTGTTTTAGAGGCCAATGGCACGGAAATGCAAAAGGCAATGTGTTTTCAATTTAAACAGACAGCAGAAATAAAGTGCACTCACAAAAACCTGATATTCTACAGCACATAAACACACTTTAAACATTTATCATGCATGACAATGCCAGTGACAACACTGAAAGAAAGAGAACAGCCCTATGGGGTCTCGCATGCCACACACACAAGTACAAACAACAGTGTACGGTAAATATTTCCTCATGGTGAAGTAAAGGGATAGAGAAATGCCTTCCAGAAGAGAACCATATTAATATTTTATATACTTCTGTTTTCTCAAATGCAATGCAAGTTGCATTTGGACTTTCCAAGAAGCGTCTTATGTTTGAGCAAGTATGACTACAGAAATGTTCAACCAGATTGTCACACACATACGATACGGTAAGAAATTAAACTAGCTATGATGCCACAGTATTTTTCTTGGACACATCACTTGAGGTCGCCGGCATCACCCTGGATGGTCTTCTTGATACGCAGCAACATGGTGGTTTGCCATTGGTCGAGACGGGAGATCGAATCAAACTCCTTCACCTGGAGAAGTTAAACACAATTTAGAGATGCAACGTCAAAATGAGCAAAAAAAACTGAGTAAAATATATGAGCTGCAGCTTCTACACATTTGTACAGTGATTTTGTGTTGTATGTTCCAGGGTTATTATAGTTAACTAAAATTAAAACCATTAAAAAAAACATTTTCATTATTTGAAACAAATAAAATAAATTATTTTACAAAAAAATAATTTAAAAAAATACACTAATTTTATTATTTTTATTTTAGCTCATTTTAATTTTGTTTAAATTGATGTACTAAACAAAAATTAAAAATAAAATTAATAAAAAACTTTATACACAAGTTTAAAAACAGAAACTAATAAAAAAAACGACAAAAGCACAAACTTTAACTAAAAAATACAATGAAAAGAGAAAATGTAAAAATAAAAATGTACTTAAAATACTAATAAAAACTATTTTTTACAAGTTCTTTTTTGAAAGTCAGTTTCTGTATAGACCTTAAAAAAAGAGGAAAGAAAATTTCAACAGCAACAATGTAGAAGGTAACAGACAAATATCAGTATCACCCAAAATGTATAACAGTGTTAGAAATAAATTTGTATGAAAGGTATAAACAAAATAAGCATTTTTGTAATTGGACTTTTGATTCAAAATCTCACAGTTACTGAGATATAATATGTGACAACTAGCCCCGGTCTCCCTTATACAGTCTAATCATCTAACACACTGTTCATTTGAGAGGATATAAACTTACGGCTTCAGTGAATACCTCGCTGTTCTGCTCCTCATGAGCCTCCAATAGTTTCTGTACAGAAAGACAAAAGTCAATGCAAATGCTGCAAAATATGACAACCGCATAACTGCACTCAGTATGCACTGCTCAATTCAGAGTATGCATACTGACTGAATGCCTTATACTATTTATATTCACTATTGCTAATTAAATTAAACAATGTACTTACTTTCAGCAGCTTACATTCTCTTGAATCAGAGAATGCCGGAAACATCCCTTCATACTTTTCAATGGCAAGCTGAAAGAAATCAAACACAGAACATTTACATCGGATGAGCTGTTATATGTCAGGAACAACCACTGAACTCATCACGGCTGACGGGAAGCAGCACATTAATTACTACAATGGCATTGGTAACTGGAAATGTTTGCTACATTAACGCCACTAGGTGTCAGTGCAAGACAAGACAACTGCAATATCAACCAGCTTGAAACACTACTTTACTATGGAATTGTTATTATATGAGACTATAGCAATGTACAATACAAGTTAGCCAGTTAAAAACGACTGACCTTTGCGTTTAACTCATCCACTATGAAGTGGCAGAGAGCTGCTTTCCAGAAGTACTCTTTAGCGTTGTATTTCAGCAGAGGGTTGTCCATCGTGCTGGTTGCAACCTGAATGTGAAGAGACCTTTAACTTTAATTCCCTCTGTGTTCATTTACAGAGAGGAGAAGATATGATTCGATTTACAGTGCAAACATGAAGCTGCACTGGAAAGCATGCTGAAATATTTTACTAACCACCCTTATATTTCATGTGAGTCTGCTCCAGTAATGTTACTTGCTCCATAGATCTCTTAATATTATTGGTTTTAGCAGATGCTTTCTTGCTTATATAGTCAATTTTTCTCCCTCCTGGAGCAACCTGGCCGTTGTTCTCAAAGACAAAAATATTGATACTACAAAAATGACTCATTCTGAGGTTAAACTTAATTAGCTCTCAAATCATGTGTCCCTGTACTGTCACATAGTGTAAAAACTCATTGACTCAAAAACACATGCAACCTGTAATCTATGCAGTGAACTATAAAAGAACCTTAAATACACCATATATATTTATATATTATATATATATATATATATATATATATATATATATATATACTGTATATATATATATGTATAATATGTGTAAAATATTATTTGGAAAATATTTTGTTTCTGTTACATTACATTATTACATTTTCATTCCTACTCACTATATTGTTTATTTCTTTCATTTAATTTTTTATTTAAAAGGGTTATTATAATTAACTAAAACCATAAGAAATATTGTTGTTACTTGAAATAAAATAAACATTAAAGGGGTCATATGATGCAATTTAAATTTTTCCTTTCTCTTTGGAGTGTTACAAGCTCTTGGTGCATAAAGAAGTTTAACTGAAAAAAAACTTCAACATATTTTATTTCAGGTAGTTGCTAAAGAAAAAAAAAATTTTTTTTTATTTAGTTTAACTTCAAGTATTACAATAACTAAAGCTAAAATAAAAAATAATAAAAAATATGTAGACATATTTAAAAAAAATTAAAACTAAAATTAATACAAATGTCAAAAAAACACAACAAAATTACTAAAACTTGAACAAATTAAAATGAAAACATAAAATCTGAAAAAAAAAATTAAAAATATTAATAAAAAACTATTAATACAAATATAATAGTATCTCAAAGATACTAAAATAACACTATTTATTTATTTATTGGTAAAAATAAATAAATAATAATAAAATAATGGTTGAGTCTGTCCTACTAACCTGCTCAAAGATCTCGATGGCTTTGGGATACTGCTCGAGCTGAGCGCTGTACGAGCCCACCTTCAGCAGACACTTATTAGCAGAGCTTAACCAGAAAACATAAAGCAATGCAAATGAGCCTTTACAACCCACAATAAAAGGAAATGGAAGATAATTATAAATATTGAATGACATTCTGATTTTACACAGACATACAGTGAGAATACAAACCTGTTTGACTCTTCGCCTTTGTAATAGTCTGCAGCCTGCTCATAATGGACGATGGCCTAAACCAACATCACAACGGACAGACCGGTTAGATGGACATTCAATAGCATTTTTAGGAAAATGACACAAAAGAAAACATCAAATAGACTGTTAAAGGCAAACGGCACCTTTTCGATATCCACCAGCTCAGATTCATAGATCTCTGCGATAGTCATGTGATGCTTTGCGGCAATCGTGAACCTTCCCTGTCAATCACACACACAAATGAGAGATTAGATGTTATGTAACATTTACATGTTCAGTAAACAGGCGCATTCAGGTTAACTAAACCATAATGCAATTAATATGCATTGATTTAAGCATGCAAAGTCCTAGTCTCTTACCATGTCTGTATAAATATCGATGGCTGCGTTTAAACAGTTGATAGCCTCTGTGTGAATCATTCAAACAGAAGGGAACAAAATATCAGCAGCGAGTCAAACGTAATGCTTACAAAACAGCTCATCAGGAGGTCATCTTCACTCATATGTAATATTCTCATTCTATCAATTATTAAATCAAGCAACAAAACATTATCAAAGGATATCACATGCTGGTGTGAATGTTTAGGCATAGCACAATAACTAAATTGTTATTTTAGTATCATTTTGATAATTGTATAGTTCTATGTACATATGTTCTGTTTTCTTTTTAGTTTTAGTTAGAATTTTTAATAATTTTGTTATGTACTTTAGTCATTTTATTCGTATTTTTTAAATTAAATCTAATCTAAATCTGTCTATATGGTATTTATTAATTTGTATTTCAGTTTTAGTTTGAGTTATTTTAGTGCTTCAACACTGTAAAAAACGATTTTTCGAAGCTGTAAATAAATCAAAGATTATTGGAGAAAATGTTCACCTGTATATCAATGTTTTACTTGCTGTTTTGTAATTGTTTGTGAAATATACTAGCAATTTTAATAATTTTTTTATTGCATTTAACGTTTATTTTATTTCAAGGAACACATTTTAGTTTTAGTTAATAATACTAACCCTGATTAAACATGAAAATTGATCACATTGTTTGTTTTATTTTTTATCTTTTGCAATGATCCAAGTTATTTTTGCCCCAAACTCTCTCACCTTGAGGATCTGCCTTCTTATAAGCATTTCCAGCATCAACGAAGCTGGTGGCCGAGTCCAGTTTATTCTGCATCTGCATGTGAAGTCGTGCAGCTTGGCAGAAAGCACTGCCTGCAGCTACAACAGCAAAACACATCTTTAGATCAATGACAATAATGACACAGAAGCAGAGTGAATGCTTAAAATAGACCAAAAACACACCAAAGCACAATTATGACAATACAAGTGTAATGCAGTTAGATCACTTAAAATATTGAGTTATAGCACAAAGATGGCCAGGGACGCTTTGATCATTTGAATGATGCTTTTGAGTGAATTTCGGATAACAGTCCAACCGCATTACTATTAATATTACACATTACGTGAAATATTCTACCGGTTTACATATAAATATGAATTGACTTGTGCATACCACTCCAGTTTTTGGCCATCTTGAACATGTTGGCAGCTCTGGCATACATTTCACATGCATCCTCGACCTTATGATTACCCCTGTGAAAACATCATTTCTTTCATTAGGTGGTTTAAAGCAATTTCGCAATCAGTATAGTGCAATAATATGTGTAAAATACAGAGCGGTTACACTGCATTGTGCATGGCGCATCATGGAAATATTTGACATTGGAGATACTGAGAAACGCAAGGATGGATACATGGTGTCGCATGGTAAAAAAAAAATGCATAAACAATAATGTATTTACATTATATAGACATATGCTATTTAAAAATAGGCTACTACAGGACATTGGATGTCTTTGAATGTCAGATCGTGACCAGCATCACTACTGTCTCACCCGAACATCCCTCCGAGAAATGAACCCGATGATTTGACTTTTTTGTCCGCCTCTGCCATCAGCTGCATGGCTTCCTTCTCTTTCCCGGAATTATCCATGATGGAGTTTGTGGAGTTCACGCAGAGCTAAGCTTGGATCCGTGAAGGCCCTGGGTTTGTTGATACAGAGTGCGGCTTTAATGCAGAATCATGAAGGATGCTAGCCTCCTCCTCCTCCTCTTCCTCCTCTTGCTGTCGGATGATGCGCATCATTGAGGGAGAAACTGCGACACTATTTGGTTGAAAGCCGTAGCCACGCCCACTCATTATCATACACGCAGCAAGAAACACATCAAAATGTATAAATACGGAAATATTTAAATTAATACATTCATATAGGCTATAAATATATAATATTATACATTAATATAATATTTAAATCATATAATATATAAATTAACAAATAAAAAAATGGGTAAACACACGTATCCATATATACATACATTTGGAAAGCAATGTATTATTATAGCGTGAATTTTCTAAAATTAAATGCCATTTAAATGTAGCTTCGTAAAGCAAGCTAAAACAAGGAAGAAAATAATATTTTCGGCTCTGCGCACGTACGGAAGTGGCGTCATATTAGCGCCAAACTCGAAGACTCGCCGGACGTTACCGACTGAGGAAGTAAACAAACAGTGGCTGTAGTCAGTAAGATCTGTTAAAATATATTTCTTTAATAAAATATGTGTTAATTTCTCTCAGTTTATGTTGTTTTTTTTTCACGTTCATTCTTATAACGTTAATTCGAGCCGTTGTAAAATAAGAAACAGCAGGTAAATAGTCCAGATTATTTGTATCTGCTTCATTAATTTGGCTCATTTTAGTACAGATTTCACCAATATAGATTTATTTTAGTCTCTCGATGGTTAGATTATTAGAATATTACATAGTACAATAATATCATACATGTTCGATTATAATAAACATGATGAGAAAGAGTCAGTAAAGAAACAGAGGGTCTGTATTGATATTTATCTCTATCAGGACGATCTTGTTACTGTGCCACGTTGATAGCTGTATGATTTTGCTTTCAGACTTCAGAGGGTTAAGGATGAGCAGTCAGAGTTCTGCCCGAGGGTCATGGAGGGGTGGAAACAACTCAGCTGGAGGAGGAGGAGGGTGGAGAGGAGGAAGAGGATGGAATAATGGTCAGTACAGAGGATGGAGAGGCCGTCAATGTTGCAGAGGAGGAGGGAACTATTCCACCAACAATACACAACATGGTAAGTGTCTTGTCAGTTATAGGTCATACTAGCTTGTTTATAGACAAACTGCTACTACTACTTGTAATAAATAATGTAATTTACATTTATGCATTTACCAAATGCATTTATCCAAAGCAACTAAGCAATTAGTAACAGAGCCAACAATATTCATAGTACACAATACCAGGTTTCTAGCAAACAAATTAAATTAATTTAATTTTGTATTTAAGAAATCATAATTTATTACTGATTTTGTTTGTTACACTGACATTTGCCACCAGGGTTTCTGTGAGTCTCAAAAAGTCTTATTTTGCCCTTCCACAAATTAAGGTCTTAAATCAGAGCAGAAAGTCTTAAATTCGTAAAGACACAGCATTAAATGTTGCATGCATTGCAAAAACAAATAACATCTTCCTCAGTATTTTTGTTTTCCAATACAAATATCTAAACAACCTTAAATCAAGATACAGATGCCAAATGAACATATGAAGTCTTCAGAAGTTTAACAAAATTATTTAACATCTGTCTGGAACTCGTTTTGCCTTGATTTAAGGTGATTTTTCTGAGCCCGTTGGCAGATATTTGTTCTTGATTTTATCATGAAATCACTTGAAAAACAAGGCTTCTTATGTCATTTTGCTTCTCAAGTACAGTAAATGTATCTTGATTTAAGAATCTTTAGACATTTGCACCCGAAAACATGATTCTGATTCAACTTTTTGCTGTGTGATCAGATGGTACTGTAAAAGTTATTTCCATAATCTAGTGTTTTGAAGCAGAGCTATTCAAACCTTAAGCTATTTTTTGTGTAAAATGAGTACAAAATACATTTACATTTAGAGTCCATATTGACAAGTCTTAAATTTACCTTTAAAATCTGCAGGAATCCTGTACCCCTTGATATGATTGATTTATGTTGTTGTTGTTGTTGTTTGTGGCACAGGATTTACTCCACAAGTTAGTCAAGCAACCCTTGACATCATGTGTCCATACAAAGGATGGCGACTCTATTTTTCTGAAGGTTTTATATTTTTCCATTTCCCGTTTCATGTTTTAACGTATAATTGACCTTTTGAATATATTTCTTAATATTTTTTTTTTCTTGACAGTTTGTGATTTACGTTTGTTCCTTTTCCAGGTTTTGTCGAAAGTTCACCATATGTTGAGAAGATTAAAGTCTTTGAGCAGTACTTCACATCGCAGATTGATCTTTATGATAAGGTATCAGAATTCATAGCATGGTTTCCCCTAATGCCAGTGTTCTTTATTAAAAAACAAAATATTCTCTTTTTTTTTCGTCTCTCAGGATGAGATTGAAAGGAAAGGCAGCATTTTGGTGGACTACAAAGACCTTCTGTTTAACAAACTGATTTCACACACTCTACCTGATCTTGCCAAAGATCTTAAAGAAATGCCTGAGAAGATTCTGGACTGCTTGGGTGTGGCAATTCATCAGGTGGGTTTTGTGCTATGCATTTACATAAATGTGACTGTTCAGTCTAACATTGTCAAAATCTCTGAAGATCAAGCTGAAATAATTATATTTTTCTCTGCAGGTGTTGACTGTGGATCTGGAGCGACGTGCAGCAGAACTGCAGGGACAGGAAGAGCTTCCTGCAGGTCTACGCCCCATAATCAACATCCCTTATATCAGCGCCAGGTGAGACTGTTTACTTTACTATATGAGAGTCAAGGCAAGTCAAAGTTATTTATATAGTTATGTGAATTGTAGTTTTATTTTTGTAATATTTATATATAGATTTAATACATTTTTATTTTAGTTTTAGTAATTTTAGTATTTAAACCTATTTTATTTCAGTTAGATGCCTAAGCAACATTTGTAATAAAAAAAATAAAAAAAATAGTATTAATATTTATGTTTTATTTAGTTTGAACTTTGTTTTAATTACCAAAAACAATTTTCAATAGTTTTAGTTAACAGTAATAACACTGGTGTGAGATGTTTTAGAGAACACCATTCCTCATTAGTTTCTCTTGCTGTGCTCTTCACAGGATTCAGGAGCTGATGTCAGGTGACCAGCGTGAGTCCGGTCGGATCCCGCGCACCATTGAATGTGAGCTCACGCAGGACCTCGTGGACAGCTGTGTGCCTGGAGACATGGTCACCATCACAGGGGTCATTAAAGTGTCCAATGAAGAGGGTACGAGACATTGTCCACACTGTCAGTGCAAATATCTTTAGAAAGCTAGTGTTACATAGATTCTGAAAAGGTACCTTTATTATTAACAATTGGTTGATTGTCATTCATTTAGTATCTCAGAAATGAGGACTTAACAGACACAATCATATTACAGTCCGGCAAAGTTCTGCTAGTGCTATTTTTGCATCTGACCTCAATGTGACGTACAAACAGGACAGCCTCGGGTGGCCTTCTGTCTGATTCAGTTTTTACATGATGGTCACATTCACTGTGCAGAAAGGATCTTTGTGTTGAGCTGTTATACCCCTCACATAATATAATTTATACTGAAATTAATATATTATATCCATTTATTTATTGGAGTGCCTATATACACTAAATGCAAGTAGCCTGCCACAAATGACAAAAGGCATCTGTAACACTATTTACACTAGTTATGTGCAAATAGCATATAACTACTATTTACAATATTTTAACCTTTTACTTTTTTTTTTTTTTTGCTGTTTACACTTAGTGTATACTATCTTTGATTAGAGAATGTCCAATATTATTTTTATGACCAATATTATTTTATCCAATAACAATAGTTGAAGGTGAGCTAACTGCTTTTTTTAGACTGAGTTTGTGTCCTGCATCAACACATTAAAACATTATTTTATACAAGACTGCTCTTTCCTGTTCATGATTTTCGTTTAATTCTTTCTTCAGGAAATAACAGAAACAAGAAGGACAAGTGTATGTTCCTGTTGTACATTCAGGCGAATTCTGTCAGCAACTCGAAGGGTCAGAAAAGCAAAGCGGCGTCTGATTCTGAGGGCCAGGGACCTTCAGTGGAGTTCTCCATCAAAGATCTCTATGCCATCCAAGAGATTCAAGCTCAAGAGGACTTATTCAAACTCATAGTGAAGTGAGTAACATGTAGATTTTATAACATGTTCACTGTTGCATATAATAGCAAGTGAAGAAGCTGATGTGACTTTGTCAATTTAATTGCAGCTCTCTTTGTCCTGCCATTTATGGCCATTTGGTGAGTGTCCAAATTGTATGTTCTTATATAACTGTGATGTTTATGTTATGTATCACTGGGTGTTCATATGTTACTGAGCTCATAACCATGAAGATATCGTTGTTGATAAGTAAAATATGACTCTTATTTTGACCGCTATCTCTGTTTTCTCAGCTTGTCAAAGCAGGACTGGCTCTGACTCTGTTTGGTGGATGTCAAAAGTATGTTGATGATAAAAATCGTATCCCAATAAGAGGAGACCCGCATATTCTTATCGTTGGAGACCCTGGACTTGGTAAAAGTCAGATGTTACAGGTACATGATCTTATAAGTCCCTCTAATGCATTTATCAGTCAGTCAGATGAATTGAAGTTTATCTAATTGCCATATCTGTGCTGTTGTTGTGTGTCCAGGCCGTGTGTAACGTGGCTCCACGGGGCGTATATGTTTGTGGAAACACGACCACCACCTCAGGACTGACTGTATCTCTGTCCCGGGACAGTGGATCGGGAGATTACGCTCTTGAGGCTGGAGCGCTGGTGCTGGGAGATCAAGGTATTTAACCTATAACATGGACATCTAAATCAATTTAGGATCCAAACATGGAATGGTGATTCCTGGGAATGTGAGATTTTATATTTTCTCCAGGTATCTGTTGTATTGATGAGTTTGATAAGATGGGCAGCCAGCATCAGGCTCTTCTGGAGGCCATGGAGCAACAGAGCATCAGTCTGGCTAAAGCTGGGATTGTCTGCACACTTCCTGCTCGAACCTCCATCATTGCAGCGGCCAATCCAGTCGGAGGGCATTACAATAAAGCCAAGACTGTCTCTGAGAACCTGAAGTGAGTGTATGCCTGTGATTCTACTGATTCTTTAGTTGGACGTTGATTATAGAGTTAATTGGGTTTAATATAAGCAACAAGTAGATATCTATGAAAGATCAGCAACAGCAATGTGATGTTTAATAAATGAATAAGAATAAACACTTTCTGCTAAGTAACAGTTCATTAGTTTAGCAATGAATGTCAGATTTGAGAGCAAGGCAAGATACTACAGTCGAAAACAGTTTTTTTCAAGTATTAAAGTGTTGCCTGTGTGACTCTAGAATGGGAAGTGCGCTGCTGTCCAGGTTCGATCTGGTCTTCATCTTGTTGGACACCCCTAACGAGGACCACGACCACCTGCTGTCCGAACACGTGATGGCCATGCGTGCAGGAAAGAGCGGTGCGGTCAGCAGTGCTGCGGTCACACGCTACAGCACGCAGGAGTCCAGCATCTCCATTCTGGAGGTGTCCTCGGAGAAACCCCTCGCTGACACACTCAAAGTAATGTCACTTCACATTTCTTTTCTTAACCAGGTTTACTAAAAAAGGTTTCATTTGTTAAAGGGATAGTTCACCCAGAAATGAAAATTCCGTCATCATTTACTCACCCTCCACTTGTTCCAAACCAACAAAAGAAGATATTTTAAAGAATGTTGTGACCAAACAGTTGACGGTAGCTGTTTACTTCCAGAGTATTTTTTTTTTAACTATCATATTAAGTTTTTTTCCATACTATGGAAGTCAGATGATAGAATTTTAATTTTTGGGTGAACTACCCTTTTAACATGAACTAACAATGAAAAATTGTTTCAAAGCATGCATTAATCTAATTTAATGTTCATTTCAATGTTAACTAAATGCATTATTAAAATCAAAAGTTGTATCTGTTACTATTAGTTAATGGACCTGAACTGACATGAAATAAAAATGAAAAAAAAAATTTAAAGCATTTATTTATCTTACTTAATGCTAACATTAAGTAATATATTTTAAAATATATATTTTTATATTAAAATCTCAAATTAAATCTGTTAACATTATTACACTGTGACTTAATATGAACAAACAACAAACAATTTACAGTGATTAACGAATGCTGTAAAAAAATGTTAGCTAATGCATAAATAATTAAGAAATGTCGAGACATTATTGTAGCGTTACTAACTCACTAATAGCTTTCATTATTAAAAATAACTAACATTAGGGGTATTTGCAGTTATCACTCTTACTATTTCTCATACATATTTAAATGTGTAACAACTACTGATCTGTTAAGCATCATTTTAGTTACATTTTTTCCTAACTAATTCTATTAAGGACACTTTACAATAAGGTTTCATTTTTTTAATGTAGTTAACTACTTTATTAACAATTAACTAATACTTCTATAGTATTTATTATTCTTAATATTTCATTTTTTAAATTAAAAGTTGTATCTGTTAACATTAGTTAATGCACTGTCAATTTACATAAACAATCAACAATTATATTCTTGACTAAATAAATTGTATACAATTTTTATTAATAAAAGATTAGTAAATGCTGTAAAATATTGATCATTGTTAATTCATGTTAGCTAATGCATAACTAATGTTAACAAATTTGATTATTGACTTAATTTATGCTGTACAGTATGTTTTATTAATGCACCTAATACTATTTATTGGTACTGTACTGTATATTACAGCTGTACTAATGTTAATTTCTCTTTGACCGTAGCTGGTTCCAGGAGAGGCCTTTGACCCCATCCCTCACCAGCTTTTGCGGAAGTACGTGGGCTACGCCCGCCACTACGTTCACCCCACTCTCTCTGCAGAGGCTGTGCAGGTGCTGCAGGACTTTTATCTGGAGCTGCGCAAACAGAACCAAACGGCCGACAGCACACCCATCACCACCCGCCAGCTGGAGTCCCTCATCCGACTCACAGAGGTGACCGAAATCACCACAGGATGACCGCGATATAAGATCAGTTCTACTGAAGATATCACGACATTTACTCCACTCTGTGTTCGCTTTATTATTCTTTTTATTTAATATTTATGATTTTTCTTTCCTGTGGTGACATTGCTTATTCATGTTCTTTTTTTTTTAAATGGTCAAAAGCCTTTAGTTTACATCACAGCCACGTTGCAGCAAAACCATGAGTTACTATTTGCATTTTGATAGATAAAAATGTGTACAATACAATCAAACATTTTGAATAATTAAGATTTTTAATGTTTTTACTCACCAGTGCTACATTTATTTGATCAAAAATACAATAAAAATTGTATTGTGAAATATTACTACAATTTAAAATAGCTGTTTTCTACTTGAATGTTTAAAATGCAATTTACATATATATATATATATATATATATATATATTGTGTAAACCATGAATTCAAATAGAAAACAGTTATTTTAAATTGTAACAATATTTCACAATATTACTGTTTTACTGTATTTCTGATCAAATAAATGCGGTCTTGGTGAGCAGAAGAGACTTCTTTTAAAAACATTTAAACATCCTAATTTTTGTCAGTATTTTTGGTCTGTTTTCTATTTTTTCAGACTTGCACTAAATGATTTCATGGGGTCTAAATAATAAATGAAGGGTTTATTTGCAAAAACAGATAACTCCGTTTTGTTAAATTTTCAAAAATCAAGTTTTTTTTGTTATGTAATCATGTTTTTATTGTTTTATTGTGTTAGTTAGCTGTAATTTTTAGTTATTTTTTTAACCTAATCAAAATAACCCAACTGCAGTTTGATTGAGATTAATTGGAATGCACAATGAAAAAACATAATTTTTGAGAATTGTTAAAAACGGAGTTATCTGTTTCTGCAAAGGAACTCTTCAAATGTAGGGTCTCTGCATGACAATCTGAAGGTTTTCTCTCTATCTGCAGGCCAGAGCTCGTGTTGAGCTCAGAGAAAAAGCTACGCAAAGTGATGCGGAGGATGTCGTGGAGATCATGAAACACAGGTGACTCAAACGCTGCATTTTCTTTAAAGGGGTCATATGATGCTTTTTTAAAGATCATTCCGTTTTAGGGGGGCGTGGCAGAGTCTTAACTTGGATAAAGAATATCTCTTTGGTTTTGAGACTTTAGTCTTTGCAACTTCAGGGATCTTATCTATGCACAATCAGCTTGTAACACTCCAAAGAGAAAGGAAAACTTGAAATCGCATCATATGACCCCTTTAAGTTATATATACTTTTTTCATGGGGATGATGTGTTATGATTGTGACTAAATAATGCAGATTTATTTAGACCCAAATAAAATATGGCAGTCTCAGATTGTATTTCCTCAATTGTTTAATTGATAAAAAATTGTTAATTGTTCTTCCATGCAACAAAAAGCATTCATGTTCTTCTGCGTGTAGCTTGGCCGACACTTACTCTGATGAGTTTGGCCGTCTGGATTTCGACCGCTCTCAGCTGGGCTCTGGGATGAGTAACCGCTCCAAAGTCAAGAAATTTGTCACGGCGTTAAACAAACTCGCTGAACGCACCAACAAAAGCATGTTTGAGTTCCAGGAGCTACGACAGCTCGCCAAAGATCTGCAAATACAGGTGAACTTCATCCACGTTACATAGCATGCTGTCAGATGATGCATTTACATTTTTTGTAATGCTCTTCCCACTTCTGCTTTCTCAGGTTGTGGATTTTGAGGGCTTCATCGGTGCACTCAATGAGCAGGGTTACCTTCTGAAGAAAGGGCACAGGACCTATCAGCTTCAAACCATATGAACCAGCCACCTCTATGATGTTTTACACTCTTACTGTGTCGTACTGTTGTGTTAGTTTTTTAATGCAACAGATATTATATTTATAACACACAGTGTAATGTATGTTTACACAAATGCTTCAGTATTTCCATGTTATGAACTGTACATTGTTTTCATGTACACAAATAGACACATATTTGTCTTTAAATAGTATTTTCCTGTATATGGTATGTACAAAATCAAACAGTAACCACATTTCTGAACATTAAAACAATGTTTCAATAGTTTTGTATTGTATGATGTTAGCTGTGTCCTTTCAGCAGATGCTCCTGTGTTCCATACTGAATGCTGAAGTCTGTTTATACCATTATCGGTAACAGTAAAATAACCTTATAAGAACTTACACATGTGCAGCCAATAAATGCAAATGCAATAGATTAAAAATGAAAGAACATGCAAATGCACATGAACGCTGTATTCATTATAAAAAGCCATCTAAATAAAGTTAAAATAAAAATAAAAATGACAGATTCTAAAAGATTCCATGTTAATTACTATTAACTATTATGACATTTCATGTTACATTAGCTAATAAATTGCATGTATTATATTCTATTATAAATGGTTATTTCTATTAGTTGATAAACTGACTTGCAGTTTTGTGAATATAAAAGAAAATGTTTTACAGTGTTACAATTAATCTTGCACCTCGATATTTGTACTAATGTAAAAATGTGGTAACTTGGTATCTGTTTCTACCAACATCAAAAATATATATAATATTATATTATATGTTATAATATGTTATATTATATCACTTAATATGTCGCATTTTATAGACTTATAGACTGCTTTCAATTAATTTATTTTATTTTTTTATAGCTTATATTAGAGCGCGTTCCCTTTAATTCCCCGCCCCCTTTTGACAACTGTCGTAAACATTCAGATCGGAACACGGCATATTAGAAACGTGGGTCGACAGATATGAATGTCTCGAAAATAATATGAACGAATTAATTTCGAAATATGCTGCTGGATTCTCGGTTGGACAGTTCGGGGTTATCTATCATCTAGTTTTCTTGAGCTAAAGCCGCTGACATGCTTTTGGCGGCTTGTAGGCAGAGCTGGTTGAGCTGTGCTAAAGGACACACACACAGACTGACTGTCAGCACTGCTGCCACCTGCCACTACAGCTGCCATGACAAAACCCCTGCAAACTTACCGCGGAAAAACACTACATCACAGCTCCGATGGCTTCAGAGCTCATCTCCTCTGACCTGTATAGCAGATCTGGACCTTCACAGAGCAGTCAGTCAGAGATCAGACCATCTCTTCTCTGTTATTTGTAGATCAAAACTACCGAAACATCACTGCAGGCTTCATCTGCCGCTGTCGAGCAGTAGTTTTAGTCTGTATTGTACTGAAGCATCTAGAAAGCCAGTTTTGGAAGAAAAGGATTCAAGGGAAAAGGATGAAGATCAAGCAGCCTCTTCACCTGAGGGACATTTCCAGTTTAAAGAGCTGGTGAGCGAATCAGGCGTATTATTGAACCTTTTACACTTTTTTTCACACTTGTTTTGACCTTGGGTCTAAGTAAATTACGGCAGGGGATTTCAAACTGGGGTCCCGGGACACACAGGGGGCCGCAAGTTCAGAGAAGAACAGTGTAGAAATGTGAAAATAGATTTATTTAAATTTAAATCAATAAATAATAAAAGTAAATTAATTAAATTATATGAAATGCATGAATAATTACATTAAAATAAATAAACAGTAATAACATTTTATATTTCAATATAAAGTAAAAAATTACAATTTATTAAAATAAACTCATAAATAATACATATTTCATTAGCTAAAAAAAACTTTAATCCAAATTAAAAGACAATTGTTTTCCAAATAATATTTTAAATGGGTATGCTTTATAGTATACCAATGTAAATTAGTCAATTTTAGTTACTTTTTGTCTTTATTTTCAACACTAGATCTATTGATTTATCAATTTGAATCACAAACATGTCTTTTTGGCAAGTATTTTGTTTGCAACCTTTACTGCAAAAAATAATTTTCTTACTTTTTTTTTTTTTTTTTTTTGGTATATGTCTTGTTTTATTGAAAATGTCTTAAATCAAGATACATTTACATTTTTTCCCCCCAAAAAATAAGTGAGTTTATGCTTAAATCAAGAACAAAATAATGTTATTTTTCCTTTGAATTAAGTGTATTTTTCTCACCCCGCTGACAGATGTTTTTTTTGTTTTTTTTTAAGCATAAACCTGCTTAATTTTGACGTTTTTTTCAGTAAACAAGACTTAGTATTTTATGTCATTTTGCATCTCGGAAAACAATAAATGTATTTATTTATTTTTGCAGTGAAAGATGCACACTTATGAACAGAATATTTAACAAAAAAATTTGTACAGTTTGAAATGATAAATCAACAGATTTATTGTTGAAAAAAGAAAAGACAAAAATTATTGTTTCACTTTGTGGCTGTCAAACGCTTGTGGATCATGTTCATAGTTAACATGGTTGTTTAGATATTTGTACTGGAAGACGACAACAAAATACCGATAAAGAAAATCTCAATGAAATTTGCTTTAATATTTCTGTTGGCCACGGAAACGACATTCATGCATTTTAAGTGTGAATAAAATACTTTTTCTTCTTGCATATTCATAATGTCATGTAATGTCATTTATTCGCGCAGTATGAGAATCCATGGACGATCCCGAATTACCTCTGTATTGCCCGGATCGTTCTGTCTCCTGTCCTGGGATACTTAATCATGGAGCAGTACTTCCACGTCTCTCTGGGCCTTTTTGTACTGGCCGGAGCAACAGACTTGGTAGATTAAAGAAAATGTGATCTGTGGTGCTTGATCATTTTATTTCAAGGCTTAATGAAGTGTCCTTAAGCTGATGTTGTTTTATTGATCATTGGTTTCTCCTTCAGTTGGACGGCTACATCGCACGGAACTGGCCCAATCAGAAGTCGGCTCTGGGAAGCGCTCTGGATCCATTGGCTGATAAGATTCTCATCAGTATTCTTTACATCAGTCTGACATATGCACAACTCATCCCAGGTGAGATGAACAGATCATGAGACTTCCGTCATTGTATTTTAACCAGCAGACCCAGATTTAAAGGGATAGTTCACACAAATATGACAGTTTGCTGTTAATTTACTCACTCTCAGGTCATCCGTTTTTCTTCAGTAGAAATATAGAGAAGATTTTTAGTGTCCGTGGACCTTGGTGATTCATAAAATGCAAGTCACCGGCTACCATCACTTTGAGAGTCAAAAACAGCATATCAAGGAACACAAAATTAATACCAGTGGCTCCTATTGAGGTCTGTGCAAGAAACTAAACATTATTTACAACATTATTAGCTGTAACCCAGAGCCTCAGGCAAACGGTTCAGTTTGTGAATGAATCATTCTTTTGAACCGGTTCTTTTTAGTGAATCGGTTCATCAAATCGGACTGAAGCGTCTGAATCAGTTCGCGGCTCGAGCAGCACAGATCTACACGTTACTCAATCAAATTTCAGACGCCTGACAGTCACTCCGACTCGAAATGAGCCAAAATACCATCTGATCCTGTGACGAATGAACTGATTCAGCGCTCCAGTTCCTGTCACTGACTGAACCGAGGAAACAGTTCGACTCGAACCGAAGACCGATGAGCCGCTGATATGAGCAGGAGTGAACTGAGAGCTTGAATGAAGCAGCCAAATGAAAATTTTTATGGTTTATATAAACAGGTGAGCTGATGAAGACTAGTTTTATTCAATTTATATGTTTTGTAAAACATCCACATTTCACATCATTATTGGGTGCTTCAATAATATAATTATGTATAAGTGAGGTCATTGCGTGATTACGTAAACGAACTAGTGAATTGAACCAGTTCATAGAAACTAACTGTCCAAAAGAATCAGTTTGCGGAAAAGAATCAGATTTCCTCGTTTGCCTGAGGCTCTGGATTACAGGTAATAATATTATAAATAATGTTCAGTTTCTTGCACAGAGCGATTGTTTCGCTTCACAAGACCTCAATATATCGTCAGGGGCCATGCGTATTCATTTCTTGACTCTCAAAGTGCCGGTAACCATTGACTTGCATTTTATACGTCACCAAGGAGCACGGTTTCAGCTAAAAATCTTCTTTATTGTTCTTTACTGTTCTACTGAAGAAAAAAGTCACCTACATCTTGGATGACCTGAGAGTGAGTAAATTAACAGCAAATCTTTATTTTTGGGTGAACTACCCCTTTAATTCAGCAGAACACATCGTACACTTACAGCAGGAAGAATCCTCTTTGAGGAAGCTGAGGTTAAGTGTCACAATCTTGGTTTAGTGGTGTTCTAGTATTTCCCTTCATGAGGTTTGAACAGCTTTTCGCTTACACCCACAACCTTTAGGCTACATCAGCACATATTTAGTCATTCAAGATCTCAGAAAACACAGTATGCATTATCACAGACAAATCAAACAGCTGAAGCTGCTTTCTCAATCAGTTGTTAATAATCAGGCAGCAGTATTAGACGTGTCATTCACTCACGAGTGCTCTTGTGTTTCCTCACAGCTCCACTGACAGCATTGATCATTTCCAGAGATGTAGCACTGATTGCTGCTGTTTTCTATGTGCGCTATAAAACGGTTCCACCTCCAGTAAGTCTTCAACTTTCAATCATTCTTTTGTGCTTTATTGTCACATTGTGATTGGCTATTTAAAAGAAATGCAATAGAGTGCAACAGTCAGGTTCTGAAAGTAAAAATCAGATGCATACAAGTCATCAGTCGAATATTTTGAATAATCATGGTTTGAACAATCACTGAAATCACTCTCAAATTACTTAAATATTTGTGGATATGCATGCATATTTTGCAGTAAACGTAAGATATGTTGTTGCTACATACACAATCAACATCTTTAAAACAGTAGTTTTAAAGGGGTCATATGATGCGATTTAAATTTGTTATTTCTCTTTGAAGTGTTACAAGCTCTTGGTGCATAAAGAAGATCTGTAAAGTTGCAAAGACTAAAGTCTCAAATCCAAAGAGATATTCTTTATAAAAGTTAAGAGTCAGCCACGCCTACCTAAAACGGCTCGTTCTAACACGCCCCCACATGTCTACGTCACTATCTGGCATAATCTGGAACTACCTTAAACCGCATAAACACATTTCATTACACCAAATACACAAAATAATGTTCTTTTTAGCAGCATCATATGACCCCTTTAAATTCAGTTGTCATTTGCAATGCTTCATAGGACTGGAGTTCTTTCCCTCATTAAAGCCGTCTTGTAACTTTTCTTTTTTTGTCTGATTTTCAAATGCTTTGAATTTTAACAAAACAAAGACGTATTAACAAATCCATATGGAAAGAAAAAATGAATGGGAAAAATTATTCTGGAACCAAGGCATGCACTGATGCACTCTAGTCAGAATTGTGTTTCAGTGTTACACTGGTTTATTTTCTGTGGATCTGTGTGTTTTACAGGTCATGGAGTAACCATTTTTGACATGCTAAAAGCACCTAGAATTATTATTGCTGTGTAAGGAATCATTTCCATCACATTATTTGTCTTTATTGTCTGTTCAGGTAACAGTCAGTAAATTCTTCAACCCGTGTTACACCACTGCCCGACTGAAACCAACACTCATCAGCAAGGTGGACCATTCAATCTGTTTACCAAAACAAATATTTCTCTCTTCATAAAACCTTGTAATGCATATATTACTTTTCATATTTTTCTAAATTCATATTTTTTTTTTACAATTTAATTAAATTTGAATAATCAAAAAGTATGAAAGTTGAATTTATAAAATTGTAACAATGTTATAATTTATTTAAAAAATCTTTTTATTTTTTTTTACATTTAATTTTATTTATTTATTTTAGAAATTCTGTGTTTTTTAAATTAAATTTATGATATAATGCACATTTATAAAAAAAAAATACACAAACAGTGGTAATCAAATGAAGGCATAAAACATTAACGATTGAATTATTCTTTTAAAATGTAATCAAATGTGATCAAATTGAATACTTTTAACACCTTTTATTAAAGAAGTTTACTGTTAATTGTGTGATATTCCATAAAAAATAAAATTGTAATACCGTATTGACCCGAATATAAGACGATGTTTTTTTCTTGGAAATACATCTGAAAAAACGCGGTCGTCTTATATTCGGGCCAATACGGTAGTTTATTATTATTGTTACTACTACTACTACTTTAAGAAACACATTCTGCTGTACAATAGTAATATATTTCCATCATCATGGAAATGATTGGGTCCTAATATGTGCATTTTTTAACAGTTTTAGTAATGTTTCTGTTTGCATTTTTCCCAATATCAGATTGTATTGACTCTGAGCCAGGAATGCATTGATATATCTGTAATGCATGATAGCTGATTATTTGAATCTTATGGCCATTGATGGTCATTATTTTTATAAATCTATATGTTTTGTGTTTGAAAAAAAGATGCTGTTAAAATAGAAAAAAACTGTGTGTGTGTGTGTTTCAGATCAACACGGCGGTGCAGTTGTTCCTGGTGTCGGCGTCTCTGGCTGCGCCGGTGTTTCACTACACTGACAGTGTTTTACTGCAGTCACTGTGGTGAGGTTTTACTCACAATCACATCCTCACATCAATATTCTAAGTATTGACTCCAATTAAATGTATATTCTTGTTTGTTTGCAGGTACATTACCGCTCTGACGACCGCAGCATCCGGTTACAGCTATTATCATTACGGTAAAAAGACCGTTGAGGTGCTGAACAACACAAAGTAGATGTACAGTCATCTGAGATTGAGCTTTGACCAAGACGTTTGGATAATCAGTCTTTATGCAGAATGGAAATCGATGCCCCGCTCTTGAGACACTTTAGTCTGTAAAGTCAAAAAAAAATTTTTTGATTACAATATTAAATTCATGTGGTGTCACTTGATCTGATCAGTGTATGGTTTTCAACTCCGCGGGAAACTTTTTTAAAATCACTTTTAATGAACTTTGGGTCAACTTTGAGAATAAAAATGGACATGAAATACACATTTGTGCATATGATGTGTGTAAAAATTAGACTATAGTGAGTGTGTAGATTGGTCTTTACTGAAGGATTCTGAGTTGCAGTCGTTAGGTTTTTTGAGTCATTTCTTACCAATCCTTCAACAGATTCACAGCGTACATTTTTTTTTCTTTTGAAGAGAAATAAGGAGTCTAAAAAATATGAATGTTAGCTAGGAGTAAAGTCCAAATTGCACAAGACTGTGAACTGCAAAGTAAAAAAACTGAAGTTACTTTAATGTAAAAACCTAATCATCTTTTGAAATAGTTGATTTAGACAAGAGTATAAAACTATAAATAATATGAGTTTTAAGTAGTCATTAAATGCAATTTTTAAGTACATTAAGTTTTACACTGACTAATAGGTTTCTATGAACTACCGATATTTTATCTTTATAAATTTTTTTTTTTTTTTTTTTTGAGGAAGTCGTATGTTTTAAAAATCATTCAACCCCTTTAATTCCATTGCTTTCCATCTATTTGTTTAACTGATGTACTGACGTACTGTTATTTTAATGATTAATATGTAGTTTTTAATGAATATTTTAACATTTTTATATTTTTAAATATTTTTTGATTATTAATATTAATATTTTGAATTTGTTTTTATTTTAATATTTTCCATTTTAATTTTAGTTTGTTTTAGTAATTTTGTTTTTAAATATGTATTTATTTATCTATTTATTTTTGTTAGTTAGTTTTTAGTTGTAGTAATTTTAGTACTTAAACTAAACAAAAATAAGAAATGTTGCCCTGGAAATAGTTAAAAAAAATTTTGTTTATATATATATATATATATATGTAGTTTATCTCAGTTAACATTTATTTTATTAAAATTAACATTTTCTTAATAGTTTTAGTTAACATTAATAGCACTGTGTATTGATTTCATTGACTGGATTGTATCCAAATTTCATTTATATTTTAATTTGGTTGTGGTTGAGCACATGTATGCATAAAATCAATTATATTTTAGAAATGCACAAAGTTCTGGCCAATAGCAGGAATTTGTATTGTACACCCACCAACTATGCAGGTAAGAATATATAGAGCTATTACTTTGGGGAACAACTTTTAGATAAATATCTAATGAACTTTTATTTGGAGAGCATTTTCCATTGATTTCCTCTATACATGCAGCTGCATATGAAGAGGTATGTTCTTCCACTCCTTCTGTTCTTTCTATGGGTTGAAGAACGCTGGATTGGGGATGGAGATTAACCGGGTTAGATGTGGGTTCTCCACCGGTGCTTTCTTACACTGTTTATACAGACCGAAGCTCAGTGTTGCCACAATCAGCACCAGGACTCCACACACCACTAACAGACTGTATAAATACACCTCTGTGTTTAAACCCATCCGGACCGAGGCGCATTTAGGGCCTGATGATCCTGCGCCGTTCACGGCCTGTAAGCAGATATGATAAATGCTATCCGCCTCCAGATCTGATATGAACACCTGACGGACCGCAGAGCTGAAACTCAGGTTCTTCTGCGTTAAACCCTCGTGTCGGACACCTAACAAGTACTGCATTACCAGTGAGTACGGCGCACACCACGTAACTAGCAGTACGCTGTAAGTGACCGCCGTGACCGCGAGCGAGGTGGGGCTGTCAGGAGGCTGCGAGTCTGAGGTCACGCCGGGACAGATGCATGTCGGGTCGGGTGTGTTGAAGCAGGTGTCTTGGAGGTGAACGCAGGGGTCAACGGTGCAGTTCGTAGACTCGGTCGCGTTCCGTCCATCTTCCTGATTTTTATGCACCATCTCATCCACTATCATGGGAATCAGTGTTGGTGTTTTGGTCGAGAACTTTGTTTCTTCCTGTGAATTTGCAGATTGTTGTACCGTAGGAGTGGTTGTTGTACTTGATTCCAGAGTTTTTGGAATGAAAACTCTTGTGGTTAAGGTTGTAGTGAGGACTGATTCAGTAACTGCAGTCGATGGCATTGGGATAGTGTCGTTTCCTGAACTGGAGTTAAAGATGTCATCTTTTCCAAGATCGACATCTATATGAACACAAATCATTTGTTTTTAATACTTTACATTTTTAAGCAAAACTCATGTATTGAATTGTGGTGTGTTGTTAGTATATAGGGACATAAAATGTTACTACAGTATATACTGCAGGCCTAGAGAGAGAAAGAGAGTTTGTCTGGTAAGATTTTTTAAATTTACAGTAAAAAACTGAAAAAAAAACCATGAAATATTATTACAATGTAAAAAAACTATTTTCTATTTGAATATACAGTCAAATGTAATTTATTTCTGTGATCAAAGCTGTATTTTCAGCATCATTCCTCCAGTCTTCAGTGTCACATGATCTTCAGAAATCATTCTAACATGCTGATTTGCTGCTCAAGAAACATTTCTGATTACCGTATTATCAATGTTGAAAACAGTTGAGCTGCTTCATATTTTTGTGGAAGCTTTCATACATTTTATTTTGCAGGATTCGTAAAAAGAACGGCATTTATTTGAAAGAGAAATCTTTTGCAACATTATAAATATCTTTACTGTCACTTTTGATCAAATTAACGTGTCCTTGCTGAAAAAAGTATTAAAGGGGTCATATGATGCTTTTTTAAAGATCATTATTTTGTGTATTTGGTGTAACAGAATATGTTGACATGCTTTAATGTTCAAAAAACACATTATTTTTCAAATACTGTAAATGATTGTAGGTCCTCTATGCCCCGCCTCTCTCAAACGCTTCGTTTTCTACAAAGCCCCCTCCTTTGACAAGCGCAGTCCGCTCTGATTGGCCAGCTGACCCAGTGCACTGTGATTGGCCGAACACCGCAAGCACTCATCGGAAATGTAACGCCCCTTACCATAATCGCGAGCTTCAGCTTTCAAAATAAATATCAAGACAGTTAATAATGTCATTAGTTTTACCATCAGTTCAAGCCCGAAAGGGCAACAGAGTCGCGTGACAGACACAGTGATGATGCAGTACACAAGCCACGGTTAAGACAGCTGACTCCACTCTGATGTGACCCCGTCTCTCTCTCTCTCTCACACACACACACACACACACACAC